AGGAGGAGATGGGGCAAAGGAAGGGGGGAGCCAATAACCCCAGAGACAAAGGAACAATAAGAGATCAAAAATCAATGGCCAGGAGGGCATAGAATGCCTGGTGGGTTCCATCAAGTGCAATGTAGCCAAGAGGAAGTACAGAGAGCCGAATGAAAGTCAAACATGATGGTGGGACCGGAGGTAAGCAAAAGGAAATAGAGGAAAGAACTAAGAGGCAAAAGACATTTGTGGAGGTATAAACATAGGCATGTACATATGTGAATATGTTAATATATAACGATAGGGATATAGGTCTATGTACATATGTTTATAGGTTAAGTATTAAGGCAGCAGACTGACATTGGGCCTCCACTCAAGTTCTCCCTCAGTGCAAAAACACTTTGTTCTATGATGCTCACCTTCCTGGCATGATTGTTGAAGAAAAAATGGGTGCATAAGCTTATATGGTGAAGAAAACGGATGTTGCCCAGCTATTAAAAGATACAGCGTATGGGGTCTTAAAGGCTTGAAGTTAAATAAGCAATCATCTAGCAGGGAAGCAACAAAGCCCACATGGAAGAAACACAGGAACCTGTGTGATCATGAGGTATTGACGGGATCAGGTATCAGGCATCAGAAGACCCAAAACAATCATATAGATGTGAACTTTTGGAGTGGAACCCCAAAGCCCATCTGTAAACAATTGGACATCCCCTCACAGAGGGACCACAAGGAAGGGACAAGTCAGCCAGGGTGTGCTTATGAAACACAACATTCTTCTAGTTGTTTAATGCTTCCCACCAACCCCCACCTCCACTATCATGACCCCAGTTCTATATTGCAAATCTGGCTAGACCAGAGCATGTACGAATGTGCTTGATACAATTGATGTATGGATTGTTGTAAGACCTGTAAGAGCCCACAGTAAAATGATTTATTAAACCAAACAAACAAAAAGAGGTCTTGTGCGGCAGATTTACCCGATGCAATGTATCTTTTCTTGATTGTTGCTTCATGAGCATTGATTGTGGATCCCACAAGACAAAATTCTTCACCACAGCAACCCTTTCTCCATTGATCATGATGTTACCTGTGGGCTCAGGGGGAGGGTGTTTGTTTTCTTTGCATTGGGTTGTAATACATTTGGAAGGCTGTGCTCCTTGACCTTCACCAGCAACCACTTCAAGCCCTCCTCACTTTCAGTAAGCACGGTTGTATCATCAACATACCTCAGGTTATTAATAAGCCCAGATGTGCAATTATCTTCATATAGCCCAGCTCCGTTGACTATTTGTTTAGCATACCAATTGCATAAATGCACCCTGGTGCACCGGTGCTTCATGGTCAATGCCATCCTGGGGCCCCAAGAAGTACAGTCTTTTGTTAAAAAAAATCCTAGAAATCCTAAAGCAAGTACTACTTTTATACTTTGATTTTTCTAATCTGTAAAATGAGCCTCTTGAAAGATATGTCACCTAGGTTTCTTATGACGGTTAAGTGAGACAATACATAAAATGCACTCAAGACAGTACCTACTACATACTACACTCACTGCCCTGGAGTTGATTCTGACGGATAGTGACCTTATAGAGCAGGCTTCAAGTGCCCCTATGGGTTTCCAAGACTACAACTCTTTACAGAAGTAGAAAGCCTCTTCTTTCTCCCGTCCCACATCCTACTGCGGCCTTATTGTTCTTGTGATTAGTATTGCCGTTGATTCCTGATGGCAGCTATTTCAGGCATCCTTCTGATCTCGGGAACAGTCTCTCCATTCTCATTTTGTCAATCTGCAGTAGCCTTCCATCTCTTTTCACCAAATCTTACTGAAACTCAGAGATAGAGGTATTCTTTGGTGGCCTTGCTTACATTTTATGATGATGCCTCTCCAAAGGGGGGGGGTCTGGGCGAGGGATTGGCCTCAGACTTTGACCCTGCCCTTGGGTGGTCTGCCATCTGCTTTCTGCAGGATCTCTGCCAGGCTCTGGAGTCTCTGAGTGGCACCGTCACCGCGTTCTCAGCCAGTGCCCGCAAGGTCGTGAGCAGAGACTCGTCTGTCCAGGAGACCACAGCTGTGCAGCAGCGGTACGAAGACATGCTGAGCAGGGCGAAGGAGAGACAGGCCGTGCTGGAGAGCCGCCTGGGCCACTGGCAAAGGTGAGCAGCCTGCTTTGGGTAGTGTGGGTTTCAACGTTGCTGATGTTGTTAGCTTTGGAGGAGGCAGAGACTTGTGGGCAGCCAATGCATAACAGAATGAAATGCTGCTTGGTGCTGTGCCAACCCCATGATCCATTGTGGATCAGACTGCTGAGATCCCTAGGGCTTTCAGAGGCTGATTTTCAGAAGTGGATCTCCAAGCCTTTCTTACTAAGTTCAGCATCATGGAAATGCTCAGCCCCTAGTAGCAGATAGGCAGTAGCTAGGAATCAAACATAGGCCTTTCACATGGAAGGCAAGGGTCCGACATAGCTGACATGAAGGAACTTCAAGACATTCCTGGAAAAATTCCATTATATTCCCATTCCATTTTATCCACAAATTTTGAAGCTTCCTGGTACTCAATGGGAATGATGGACTAGCTACTGTGTGGTGATAGAACATGGTCATCCCAGATGCCAGACGTGTGTGAATGGATGTGTCTCACATGAGATCTTGTAGAGCTTCATTGTTAAGTGCAGGTCCCTAAGGTAGAGAAAATATGCACATATCCTTACACAGGACACAGATAGCAACACTGACACAGTGGCTGCAACAATGGGCTCGGGCAGAGGAGCAACTGTGAGGGTGGCACTGGCCTGGCGATGTTTTGTTCTGTTGTGCATGGGGTTGTTATGGGTTGGAACCAACTCGATGGCTCTTAACTACAACAATACATATTTATGTGAGAAGTAGTAGAGTGGCCGTTATAGCTTCTCCCAGAGGGCGCTGTTGTCCATATAACGGTTGGTTTGGAACCCTTTGACTTTTGTTTGCTAATATGAGCCTTTTTGTGGACTCTGCGTCTTATCTCTGTCCTCTACAGGCTGGAGAAAGAACTGTCCACCTTTTTGACCTGGATAGAGCGGTGCGAA